GCCCAGTAGTATACAGCGAAATTCGAAAAAAACCGAGCAAGGAGTCCAAAGATCTAGAATTAACGGAAGACTCTTCCAAAGAGAGCGCAGAGCATCCGAGCGAAATCCAAACAACTTCCACGGTAAGTTCAATAGGGTGCAACTATAAAATCTCCATTTACAGTATATATTTCAGGATCAAGCGGAAATGCCTCCTCCGCCGGTGCCACCGAAACCGCGTTCCGCCTCAGCTATGGCGGAGCCGATTGTTGAGATACCGGAACGGTTTGTTTATTTATTTATTGCTGGGAAAATGCAAATAAATCCTTTCTCTTTCTTGCAGACGAGGTGTACTTCCTGCACAAGTACGTCCACTTGTACAACGACCACCAAGTCCGCGTGATGCTGGCAGGGCTACTCCAAGTATTGAGCCGGATCTGGTTGGCAAGGACAGGTTGGTAACGTCTGGTTTTCATGATTTTCTGCAAATTCCAAGTTGTTCACAGCGTATGGAAGCTCTGGCATGTCGCTTATTTGTTAATACGCAAACAATTTATAGAAGACAAATTGTAGGCTCGTCTATACATAATCAAATTATGTAGTAAATATTTGTCATCTTAATTTAAAAAAAAAAGAATTTTGCAAATTCTACAAATAGCAATAATTGCTTTGCCGTCAGTGTTTGGATATTTTCACATAATTTTTTTCACCATGGTAAGTAATAGAAGCCTATAGAGATATCAAATCATCAAGCTACTAAATTGTCTTCCTTTATTTTGTATCTATCGATTTTCAAGAAATAATGTGTTACGCTAGAAAAATTGTTTAGGAAATTCCTTTTTGTTTATATTCTCCTAACATTCCAGAACGTTTTTACAGGTAGCTATAATATAAGTCCTTTTCGGGCAATGAAGAATGATCGGTGGTCTTTAGCCTTGCTTTTAGTTGATCAGGCTTGTTTCTCAGCAAATGTAGGCTGATCGAAGCATGAGTACAAAAAACTTGAACAAACGTATGTGATGGTGAATATGCTCTATAATCTCACTTCAGTATTGAAGCCTTGCCTAATTCGAAGTTATTCCATAGCGAAAAATGCATGACAACGTTTCTCTTATCATTCAATTTCATCAAATCCTGAGAATTACAGTATTAATGCTTTGTCACTAGATCTCAAAGTAACTCAAAGGGGGAATGACTTAAAGAAATTAAGCTAATTAGTACTTAAACGAATCAGCATAAAGGCTCTATTAAAAGATTTTTTAATTTTAAAATGTTTTTCCTAAGTTTGTAATCCTTCCTTTAATCAGGAAACAGTTTTAGTGCATTTCTTGAGAATATTCGAGTAGGGTGTCACTTGTGTATTAGATGAACACCATTCTTGCATGTGAAGTTCTTCCAAAAAACCAAAAAAAGTTACAATTTCAAAGTGACTTTCTCTAAGTAGATTGTGCCCATTATATCCGACTTGTTCTAGAACTTTCAAATATCGGTTAATCAAAAATATTGATTTCAAAATATATCATTCAATGGTGAATTTTTTCTGGACTGCCACATTTAGGTATGACAAAGCCTCGAAATGCTTTTCGTACGCGCCTACGAAAGCGTTAAACGAGGCGTTTGAACGCCCCAGAAAGAGTTCGGTTACGAAAGTGGAGCGTAGAGAAGAAGAAATACAGAACATTGACCCAAATGAAGTCAGCAAGGTAAGCGAGATCTTCTTGCCTTAAAACATGGATAATACTCAAATTAAGTCTTTTCTACAATAATCTATTTGGAAAATATTTACTGCGATTTGTAAAAAGCTAGGAGTTCGTAATAAGTTGGAGAAGAACGGACTCATAAATCGCAAAAGTCAGATTCTG